ATTTTAGAAATTACGCATCCATCCATATTTTGGTATTATTGTTGAAGACTGGGGACAAAGTTGGGAAGAAATAATTCTAATTGAGCTGTTGAAGTGTGAGTGATGAATCTGAACTAAATTCGATAGAGGGGCTAGTAAGATTGGAAAACTTCATAATTTTTAATTTCAAAGAAGCTGTGGAGTGCTACAGCATTGACTGTAAATAGCTTTAGATAAGTTAAGAATGCACGTGGTTAGTCCTAGGGCAGTGCTTTATCATCTCCAATGTACAATAGAATCGCCTGAAGAGTCCACAGAGCTTCTAATTCTGTATGCTTGGGTGTGGCCTGGAATTTTTCAGAAGAATGAAGTAAAGGAACAACAGAAGAGTAAACAAAAATTTAGAAGGGACAACTGGAAGGCAAATATTAAGTTGGCAGAACTTAAACCCAACCATTTCCATAACTAGAGTAAGTGACTAAACATTTCAGTTATAAGGCAACAGAACACCAGTGGGCTCCTGTCTAATGCAACAGTCTATTGTACTAGATGCATTTTAAATATTAAAAAATGTGCAAATATGAAGGAAAGGATAGAAAAAGATACACTATCAAACAGAAAGCATAAGAAAGCTCAGTAGAGACAGCTGTATTAGTATCAAGAGGGAAGAGGGAGAATTCCAGGGAAGCTGATACTAGCTCTGTGGAAGAGAGAACTTTCCAACTTCACAGTGCTCATCACTGGCTAGCTGTGGGCTGGGCTGCCTTGTAATTACAACAGATGTCCCTGGAGATAGGCAAACAAGCTAGATAGGGTAGAGAGAGAGCTTTCTTGCATGGACAAGTAGATTAGGTGACCCTTGTCTCTTTCCTGGAGCTGAAGATTTAAGTCTAGTTGCTTTGTTCTTACAGTAATGGTGATTTTTTTTTTTTAGGACTACAAAACAGGATATGTTTAGTGTATAATATTTACAGAAATTTTAGAATGCCTAGAAGCCCAGGCAATTTTTTGGGAGGAGGGGCAGTGCTGGGGTTTGAACTTAGTGCCTCATGCTTGATAGGCAAGCACTTGAGCTGCTCCACCAGAACCCCTGTAATCTTTTCAATATGCATATTCAATTTTGATGAGGTGGGATCCTGACAAATACTGAATTGTATCTACTTTTAAGAAAACAAAAACAAAAACCTTGTACTATAAATATCTTTCCTTGTCATTAAGTATTTTTTACAAAATTAGGAAGGTAAAAGCATATTCATGGTGGTGGGGTGGAAGAACTAGCGGTCAGGAGTGTAGATACGGAAAAGTAAAGAAGTATCTAAAGTAAGGATCTCCCCCACCCACCCGTGTACTTTCCAGATGGTGGTAATTACCTGTGGGGAATGAGCTAGGAAAGGGAGGGACTGATCTTTAGTTTGGGGAATTGATGGCTGGTGGATGAGGGGAGGGAGAGCACTGGCACTGAGGCTGAGGCCTGTCAGATGAATTCTGCCCCTGCTGAGCTTGAGCTACATGTGGATCAGCCCTGCCATTTGTCTATTGACTCTTTCCCTCCTGTTTTTTTTTTTAAAGGAACTGCTTCCTTGCATACTTATTGTACATGCTTCCTGGTTTTTACTAATCAAAAACTGAGGCCATTCTTATTTTAAGGAGTTTATTGCTGATCATGACAGTTAAAAACAAAACAAACCACACGCTGATACAGAATTTCTAGTATTGTGTTATCCAAATTCTTCCTAATCTGCTAATGGGAAATTTAATGAAGTCTGTCTTCTATCGCTCCTGAGGATAGAAGTGATGAACGGTGTCCGCCCACTTTCTCTGGTCGCTTCCTTGGTGGAGGAGACATCACATCTTCTTCCTCTGAGGGGAAACTGCCATTTGCAAACCTCAGATGAAAGGTGGGTGATAGGTGTCTATTTAACTTCATCCAGATGGGGGTAACCCTAAACCATGCATTTTGGATAACCTCCCAAATAACCCATCATACCCAGGGAGGTAGCAGGAAAGAACACTCTTGGGATTGAGAGAAAGTGAGTTTTAGGCTGGAATCACACATTTAAAGAGTCGATGATATAAAGAACAGATTTAGACTGAAAGGAGACACATGAGAGCTTCTGGAATTTGATCTTGGATCCTGAGTGTGCAAGCAGAAAGGATTGTAAGGTAAGCTGAGATCCTCCCCCCGCCCCCCCCCAAATACAGTGTCCTAAAAAGTCTATAGAGAACCACTGGTGTCAGGGAGGAAGCAGACCTCTCTTGGTTCAGGAAGTTTGGCAGTGATGACAGAAGGAGATTGGGTGGTAGGTAGCTTTTAAGAAGAAACTGGTGTGTTGGGAGAAATGGATGATTCTAAGATTGAGGCAGAGGAAATAAAATAGGAGCTTAGAGCATCTTGTATCAGGAAGAAAGGAGTGTGCAAAACAAAGGGATGAATGAAGCATGCCAAAGGGACAAGGAACCAGCTTGAAAGAGCTCACTTTGGCCAAGGCTGGAACAATTTGACAACAAATAAATCATGTACATTTGGATTATAACCCAGAGTTCAAAACAAATATCCATAAGGCCATACAAATATTACAAAATGACTGAATGAAGAAATAAAGAAATGCAAATTTTTTTTAAACAGAGAAATTCCAAGTGTGTATAGCTACTACCATCCTGCACGGTGGAACTCCCCCCCCCCAAGGGAAAAACAGATTAATAGAGAAAGGGCCATGCTACAGGATACCGAGCCAGAACTCCTCAGATCTGTCAAGATCATGAAAAATGAGGAAAGACTAAACTTTCATAAACAATGCAATGTGTGATATCCTGTGTTAGATCTTGGAACAGAAAGAAAACATTAATGGAAAAATGGCAAAATCAAAATAAAATCTGGAGTTCAGTTCATGGGATTGATACCAGTGCCTGTTTCTTAGTTTTGACACATGATAATATAAACAGCATTGAACATTGTAGGGTTACATGGGACTCCTTTGAAATTTTTTGGGAGATCTAAAATAAAAAGCTTATTTTAAGCCAGTGGTGTGCTCTTGTAATACCAGCACTCGGGAAACTGAGGCCAGGAGAATTGTGAGTTTGAAATCAGCCTGGGCTACACAGGGAGAACCTATCTCAAAACAAACAAAACATTTATTTTAAGCCAGCACTGGTGGAAAACACCTGTAATCCTAACTACATAGGAGGCAGAGATCAGGAGGATTTCTGATTTGAAGCCAGCCCTGGCAAATAGCACAGGAGAGTCCAATCTCCAAAATAACCAGAGTAAAATGGACTGGAGGTGTGGCTCAAGCTGTAGAGCACCTTCTTTGCAAGCATAAAGGCCTGAGGTCAAATTCCAAAAAAAAAAATCAAACAACAACAACAACAACAAAACCCAGATTGATTTGGAATGGAATAGAGGACTGCTTTTCCTTTTCAGAATGGAAAAAACAAGTGGAAAGTGAGTCTGAATGAATGCCAGGTGTAAGAGGGCATTTGGAGATTAAAGACTTGGAAATTGGTTTTCTTTTTCTTTGTTTTTTCATTATTTTTTTAGGGGGGATTGGTTTGCTTAAAACCCTCCTTACCCACATACATCTTGAGAGTTCCAGGTAGCCAGTTTGAAGATCAGGGTGGAAGACCTGAGAAGGTGGAGTAAAGCTTTAGAATAGGGCCAGGAACAAGGGAACTGTTTGAGGGCTGTGGAAAGGACTGCTGCTTGATGTTGAGGCCACAGCTGAGGAGAGTCAGTTAATTTCCTGCAGGGCTTATTAGCACTGTTTTCCCTGCTGTCTCTGTCCGCAGGGAATATGCATATATCCCCCACCCCCCCTTTCTGTGTCTTTCCTCCCTTTTCCTGTGCTGGTTTTTAAGACCTTCCAGTGGCAACCTGCAGCAAAGTGAGTTTAGCAGTGTCCTCCTTAAACAACATTCCATTGAAATACAGCGGCAGTTTATGAAGAGATTTGACCTGTATAACTTGTAGATCAAAAATACTATAAGGCATAGAACCCTTGAAAGACCATTGTGGTACAAATGCATACACTGAGTTCTGAACCTGTTTAAAGGTTTTTTTGTGTTTTTTTTTTTTCCCATTAAAAATAAGGTATATTAGAGGGCTTAGAGGTATGGCTCAATTGGTAGAGTGCTTGCCTAAATAGGCTCAGAGTTCAAACATGAGTACCACCGAAAAAAACCCCAAATAAATAAATATATAGGACATTACAAAGATTTTGCTTTTCATCTTGTAAGTTTAAAAGCTAAATATGCTTTGAAATGTTTTAGATATGCATGTATATCTTGCCAAGTAAACAACAGAACACTTGAGTGATTTTCATTCTTAGATAAACATGACCACGGTGCACTTTGTGTTTACATTTAAGAAGTGTTACATATACCACATACTGTTCACATTGCATGCAGGTAAGTACTGTTTATAAAGCTCGTTAATTTAAAGAGCTAATAAAAAGGTACTTCTGGCATTCAAGAACCCATCTCAGACAGTAAAATAATCTGCTCCATTCACCTTGTAAATTCTGCCCTATCTGCTAACTTGCATACCTTACCTTTGGGCTTCAGCACTTGGTGCCTGTAGGATTAGTGAATTCAGGCATTGCAGAAATTCAGCACATACTCATCATCCAAGGGAGACCTGTGCTTTGGTTGTATGGGTGATGTCTTGCCATCCTGCAAATGTGTTTCCATTACTTTCATGAGAGAGTTTTCGTTGTCATTGGCAATGACTACAACAGCTCTAAGTATATTTAAATGCACAGTGAAGATTGACCAGTGATCTTACTCCTCATTTGTAAAGTGAACTGAAGCTATCAGTTGGACCAAGGCCTAAGCATTTGTGTGTGTGTCTGTGTGTGTGTTTAATTTTGTGTGTTTAATATATGTGTTTAATTTTGGGGGGCAAGGGATGGGACTGGGGTTTGAACTCAGAGCAAAGCAGGCCCTCTATCATTTGAGCCACTCCTCCAGTTCATTTTGTTCTGGTTATTTTGAGCGGGGGTCTTGCGAATTATTTGTCCAGTCTGGCCTCAAACTTCAATCCTCCTGATCTCAGCCTTTAGCAGGTAAACTAGTATTAAAGGTGGGAGCCACTGGCATGCCTGGCTGTCTAGGCATTCTTGACCTGAAGTCCACAGAGCCTCGGGTGCTTCCTAATTGGGCTCCAAAGGAATCATGAGCAGCATCAAAGTATAACAGATGTTGCAGTGTGGGCCTATATCTTCACATTTCACTAGAAAGCCAAAAGAATTTGGTGTTCCCAAAAGGTCTAAGAATGCCTTTTTGTTTAGTTTTGCTGCTGAACAAGATTGTGGGTTGTATGCAGTGGTGTTTTAAAAAACACTTGGAAGTAGACTTCACTCATACAGTATCCAGCTGGAAAATAATTGCCCCTTGTACCTCCCTCTAGTATTTTTAGATCTATTACAAATTTAGTGTAATTCCACTTCTGCTTCAAATTACCCTAATTTATATAACAAGCTAGTTTGAGAACCCAGGGAATCTCAGGTGTAATTCTAATTTGGTGTTGATTTTATGTTTCTTTGGGTAAATATTTGCTGTATATTTTCATTTTTGCATATTAAATGATATGAGAATACTGAACAGTGCAGAGGGAAAAATGTAGCCTTATTTATTATGGTCCTGGGGATCAAACCCAGGGCCCTGTGTATAGTTTTCTACCACCAAGCTACATCTCGACTGCAACAATGTAATGTTAGTATTGCTGATACATTTGCAGATTGTGGCAAATGGAAATTTTGAGTAAATGATATTATGAATTTTTTTTTTCTTTACTTGTCAGTTGGTTTAGTCCTTTACAGAAAGTGGTGTTGTAGTTACGTGGAATTTATTCATGACTGGATATACTCAGAAAAAGGAAGCATTACTTTGTTCATTTACTTATTTTTGAGTCAAGGTCTCCCTGTGTAGTTGAGGTTGGCCTGGAATTCGTGATCTTTCTGTCTCAGTCTCCTTCATAGTTGGGCTTATAGGCCTGAACCACCTTCCCTAGCATAAGGGTTATGTCGTATCTTTAATATTATACCAAAATTCCACAAATTGTAGATTAAAAGTCCATCAGTCTGTCTTGTACTTTCAGTAGATCTCTTACTTACCCATTCATGAGTTTGTACCATCATGCATGGGTCATTTGGAAAGTGTCAGTCAGTAAATTTGAAGGTCTTCTAAAAATCATACTCATCACTGTCACCCAGATCTTGTTAGGAAAACCTGTAAGTGTTGGGAAGCCAGCAAGCTTACAGTGGTGGATGTAAAGTTTTCCAAAATGCTTGGAAGCTCAAACTTGATTATTAGCAATAAATACCCTCAGTCCTTTTCCTTGAAGGAACAGCTTTACTTTGTTCATTTTCAAGAAAATGTCTCCCAAATACTCAAGTCAGAATAACCAGTTTATGAATTCTTCTTTCAAGTAAAAATGGTACTCCATGCAAAAAGCGAGTGTAGCTTTCCACTCAAGTGGAAAAACACAAGTGCTTTTCTAGTAGACAGACATCATACTTCAGTGTGCAGCAGACTGCTTTGTGTGCAGGAATGGCATTGCTCGAAGAACCTCAAAAAGACCTGTACTCACTGGTCAAGATTTAATGAAAGTAATAATTCTGACTGGTTGCTTCATTAAGGGCAGTCACACGGGAAACTGACTTTTAAAACTGTAATGTAAAGTGTGCAGTGACTATTGGGCTCATTTGCTGCCACTACCTTGATTAGTGCTAAAGTGATAATAGTTTTCCATGGTTGCTTTTTTTTTTTGCACCAGCAGTGATGTCAGCACAGTGAAAAGACAAATACTGTCCTTGTGTTATTCTAAAAACAGTCCTGACCTCTGAAAAGGTCTTGGGGACTCCCAGGAGTCCTGTAACCACACTTTGAGAACTCCTGATAGAGTAGCATTGTAGTTTGGGTGCCAGATGTTCACGTCTGTACTCTACTCTTGAGTAACACAGTGTGGACTGTCTCTGTGAGGTTGGGCAACAGTCTTGGTTCTAGGTCGATGGGGAGTCCACAGGCCAGGAATTCTTTCACCAGTCATCTTAAGAGTGGCAGTGCCCGCAAGTAAGAGGCTGGATCACCACCTTCGTCCATCTCTGCCCATTGAAGTTCTTTTCTGCTTGTGTTTAGGCACTGCTTAAATGCCTTTTCTGGTCCTCAGAGCAGTACTTCTTTAAGTGCTTAATATATTACTGGTTTGCATCTTGTTTTTTGATCAAACCTTTAATTACTAAAGGACCCACTTGAGTTATTATTGTTCTTTGTGTAATCTGCATGTTGCCCCAAAGGGAAGACGTTCTGCAAACGTTAGTCTCAACGTAGTAAATTCAAAACTGAAAGCAAAGTAAAACAAGTGTCTGTTCGTTGCCGTTTCCTGGTCGTAGGCACTGGAATGATCGAGAGCAGCGGAGGTGGTTGACTGCTGCGGTTGTTCTCCGCTCACTGCGGCCCCGGTATCCCACAGATGCTCACGTGGGAGCTGCAGTTCTGAGCGGCGGGTACTGGCTGTTCCGGCGCGGTGTGTTTGTACATTGCTAAAACCTGGCAGGGGAGCGCCGTAGCGGCCCCGGGCCGGGCGGGGCGGGCGGCGGGGAGTCCCCGCCCGGCGCAGCCTCGCCTGGGGCTCGGGCCGGCCGAGCGCCCTGCCCTTTTAAGGAGGTGGACTGTACCACCATAAGTTTCTTGACGGGGGGGGGTACTGACGAACTCGGGTAACTTCGAGTGCGTCCCGCGGCGATTTTGTTGCCCTTCTAACTCGGGGCGGACTTGTGCGGCTGTGGTGTGCGAGCCGAACGCTGGCGGGCTTAGGCCACGCGAGCCCCTTTGCCTCTCCTTCCCGGAAATAGTCCCGGGGAGCTCTGGCTAGCTCTAAGTCCCGACGCGACGTTCCCCCGCGCTTGTGCAAAGTGTCGTCCGCCCGCAAGCCCCAGTGCCCGGATGTCCATCAGGATTAGTGCGAGCCAATAGCTCGCAGGCCGAGGCTGCGCTGAAGACGCCCGGGTTCCGGAGCAGGTAGTCCCGTCACCTCGGGAGCTGCGCCGGGGGTCGTCCCCGCCCGGCTCCGGCAAATGGTGAGCTGCGCGGCGCTGGCTGCAGGGCCCGCGGGTTGAAGGCTCTGATGGACAGAAGATACTGGGCTCTATAAACTGAAGGATGGCAGCCCACTCAAGGTAAGTAAGGCAGGCACCGCGAGAAACTTTTAAAATTATATTAGTGGCTATGGGGAATTGAAGGTTGCGGGGGTTGGGGAGTTGGGGTGCTGGCGAGGAAGCCGGAGGAAGCAGCTTTCTCATTGCTTTCCCATCACTCCTGATGCCGTGGCTCCTGACTCGGTGTCAGAGAGGAAAGACTGGAGAGCGCACCAGACAATTCCTGCACGGCGGAGACGGGGACTGACTTCAGAGTTAAGATTCAAGTTAAAGATTTTCTCTTTAAAAAAAAATACGGTGATTTTAGGAACATTAAGTTGATTTCACTTGTCTGCCCGTGCCCATATTTTCATTTACATTCTTTGTGCACCCACTCCTGTGGTTCTCTTGATTGCGGGTGTCTTGAGCGGAATTTGGGGCTTACGATTAATGTAAAGCATAATTCGTTTAGGAGAGGGTGGGAGAGGATTGGGCTGGCGAGTGATTGAAGATGTTAGTGCCGGAATGAACGATTCCACATAAAACGGCACAGCTTGCGTGAATGTGCTGAGTAGGCAAAGAGCAGGAATGCACCGGGGCTGGCGAAGGGAGAGGAGGATAACGAGCTGCAGTTGCTGTCAGGAGCCGTGGCGAGCGCCTGCCGCTCCGGCCCCCCGCGGGTGCGGGCTGGGTTTGCAGAGAGCGTTCCAACTGTGGTGCCAAGACATCAGTGGTTAGTCAGGGCCCAAACAGTTCTGTGCGGTGATCTCAGAGGGTGTGGAGGGAAACTGAGGCGCCCTGCACACTTTCTTCTGAACCTTTTACTAGAAAGCAGCGTGGTCTCACATACTGACAATAGGGAGTCTCTCCAAAATCTTGTTAACGCAGGTTAGTGACGTTCAGAAGGCTAAATAAATTTTAAGTTTGAAGACCCAGATCTGAGCGAGAAATGGAGGCTTCCATGTTGAAGTTTGGGTGCGTATGACTTTTGAATTTTTTCCTCCCCTAGGAAATAGAACTTTCTAGGAAGGGAAGAACTTCTCTAACTGCACAACCTCCTGAGTGCTACCTGCTTTTTTATATTTAATCAACTCAGTGGTTTATCCTCTGCCTTCATTTTATTGATCTAAGAAAGGAGTTCCTAACATGGGGCCAAGGAGTAGGAGACTTGGTTGAGGAAAAAGTTACATCTTTACTTTCACTCTGATGTTTGGTATTTCTTTCTTTTAGTAGGAAACTAGCACAAAACTACAGCATTAGTACATCTGAGGTCACCACAAATAGAAACTTCGTATATTTTCATAATGTCATTATAATTACTGAAGATGTTTTAAAATAATCTCTTGCATTTACTACTTGAATGAAATCAAGGCGCTAATTTATTTTGTTTACATCAGTAATAAAACATAATACTATACCATTAATTTGTATTTTAAAATTTTGGTAGCTGTATTTCTACATAATTTGTTCCCTCTTATTCTGGTGTGTTGTACTTAGATTTTAAAAGATTATCCTGAGAGTCCCATTATTCATCAGGAGTACACGGCCCAAACCTTAGTTTAGATTACTTTGATCTACCAAATTAAGTAAATGCTGACAGAGCTTAGTATTTTAGCATTGGATTTGAATCCAGGTAAGTGATTCCAATACCTGAGCCCTTAACTAATGATACAAATAAAATGAAATAAAAGGTTATTGGATACTGTGAGTGCCAGACACGGAGTTAAGCAGCTTTAATTGGATTACCTTTTCCCAGGCACCTAAATTAGGTAAGTACTTTTACTGCCCACGGTTGGTAGTTGAGGAACCTGAGGCCCAGCAGGGTATTTTCTTTCTGAAGTCACGCAGCTGGAGCACTCTGCAGCACTTCCCCTCTCTTGGGCTGCTGCGTTAATGCTACTGCTGAGGCAGGGTGTTAAAAGGAGCTGCAGTGCCTCTGTGTGAGAGTACAGAAAGTGATTTCTGCTAAAATTGGTTTGCTGTAAAATGTCGTAATCTGAGTTGTGTTGTGGGACACTGTGCTTGCAATTGAAATAGGACTGTGTATATTTCTGATGCTCTACCTGGCCTTCAGACATGCTCTGGAATCTGAAACACAGCCGTAAGGTCACTCTGTTTTCTTAGCTTGCATGGCAGGAGGATAGCTCATGTGTTGTAAATGCCCTTTCTTCAGTTACATCTGTAATGTGGCTTAAGCTTATTCAGATATTGTACTTTGTGGGAGAGTAGATAATCTTTGAGGTTCAAGGAAAGAATATGTGGAAAAAGAGTCAAGATATTTTTGGATTTCAGGGAAACCCCAAAGCTGGGCCAAGTTTCCATGAGTGGAGAAACTGAAACATTGCTTGTGATGTATAATCTTGGGCAGTAAACTCTTGACCGTGAGTTTGTTTGCTTTGAGACAATTCATTTGGGTTGTCAGATGCATTGGATTTAGAGCTTCATACTCAGTTTTATCCACAGTAGTTTCATTGTAATCTGTAGATGGGAACTTGGGAATTTTGCAGCACTGAAAATGAATACAGGAACCAACCCTGGCAATTTACTTTATTTGACATTAAGGTAATGTTCTTGATTTGATATTGGTGGAGAATATGGCCAATTTAATGTGCTCCCTTCTGTATAGCTGGCTCCTTAAGGCAAGATATTGTTACTTTTAGTGTCTCCTACATAAGCTTTAAGTATTTTGAGTGAGGAACTACCTAGTATTTCTTGGCTTGTGACTTGTTTTAAAATTGAGGTTACTTATTCCTCTACCTCATTCTTAAATTTAAAAGTAGGAAATTATTTTTGTTTTGCTTTTGTGGTTGATTTCATAGAAGTGGAAGTCATTTGCTAAATACAATGAATTGTGTAGCTTGTAAGAGTTAAGGGTATTTTTGGTCGATATTTTGGAAACATTTGGTCTATTGAGTCATTAGAGCTGCGGAAAGAGGTAGTCACTGAGAAATGAACATGAGTTACAGCAGGACACAGGTCATGTCTCAATCCCTCAGTGCCTCCTTTCTTTGGAATCTATTAACATAACATGCATTGAATACACTTCCTTGAGGGAATTGTAACAAACTTGCTTTCTTTAATGTGAAATAGTTACAGATTATAGCATTAGTTTCCAGAAACTGGAAATTATTGTTTATAGAAATCTAAAAATCAGCATTTCCTCTTTTTGAGAATCAGTAGATCTAATGGTTTGTGGATCTTTTTCTGTGTGAATTAGCTTGCTAACGAGGAGTGATGTTGATGGATAGGATAAAAAGAGGAAGGCTTTGTGTGAATTTCCGTCTCTCCTAACTCCCTCTTTGAAGCGGCCCCCGAATTCTAAAAAGGAATATAAACTTACTTTCCACTACTGTCAGGTATTAACCAATTCTAAAAAGCACCTTGTGCCATCTGAGAAGCCCCGGGTTATCCACTCCCTGGGGGAAAGTGTTTGGATGGCAGTGGGGGAGTTGAACTTGGAACTTTGAGAGGGAGTACATCTGGTGACTGAGCTCACATTCCAGAAGAAAGCCCTGACAAACTACAAATGGATATTAGGTCTAGTCAACTAACTGTCCCATAGCTTTTTTTCTTGAATTTGACTCAAGTTAATATTAATGAAGCTTTAACAAAATCAATAAAGAAGTAAAGTCAGTTTGTTCCCAAGATTAAAATGAAGCCAGTTTTTGGTTAATGTCTTTGATTCTGGTGAGAGAAAAGAGACTGCTCTTAAATTGGCACAGAACCAGTTTTCCCCACAATGTGCCTCTACTTCTGACTTAGGAGCTACCTATTGCCTGGGAAGAAAATGCATGAATGCAAAGCAGCTCTGATTAAATGTAAGCCGTTATCAATGAGGAATGTTACTGTATCTTGGTAAGTGTAGTTCAAGGGAGAGATTTTGAAAGGAAAATGCTGTGTGCAGTATTGTGACCCTGTGAATGTCCCCATTTCCCCCTGTGACACTACTGTAAACAATGCCCTTGACAGAAGAGACACACAAACAGGTCTTTTAAGCTAGTGCTTTCTGGTTCACCCTGAGATCCCAGCTGAGCTTCCTGACTCACAGTCTACAGCTTCTGCCATGATAAAGACTGAAAGACCCATGAGTCATTTTTTCTTAAAGTCAGCTGGGTTTTGTGGATGTTTGGCAAAGTTGATGCAGTATCATGAGATAGTATTCCATAGCTAGATCTACAAAATGAGATTTAATGAATGCTGCATTTAAAAAGTTTTAAATTTCAAGTTTATTCAGGAATGAAAAATATTAATAATGGATATGAGTATGTTTCTTTATTGGGCCTATCATTTGTTTTAAGCACCTAAACCCATTTCTCATCTGTAAAACAAATAAAAACTGATTAGTGTCACTACTGCTTTTGGGTGTAATATAAATGTTGACTGCTTTTAAATATACAAACTTAGAGTTTTTTGTTAGCAAACGTCTCCATTTCATTTGTTTTCCAAGATTGACAAATGTATTTCAATTCTGTATGTGAGATATGGTGGAAATACAGTCTGTACCTCTAGGAAAGAGTCTCCTAGACATTTTTCTTGGCTCAGAAATACTAACATACAATGAGCTGGAGTATCATTTCTTTGTTTTGGTTCAGTTACATTTTATTGATACATGGTGAGAGCATAACTTTTGCAGGTTAAATGATTACCTATCTTTTTACCTGAGTGGAAAAAAGTTGGGGAGAGCTGAAGTAAGAGTCTTAGCTGTTTTATTATGGATACAGCATATATTCGTTTGCTCAAAATAATAAATATAGCAGATAAAATGCACAATGTCTTACTCAAGTATAAATGTATCAGATGAAGTTTAGATTTACAGAAAAATAAAATTTACAATGTCATGATCTAATGCTCTTTACCAGAAGTAAAGATTAACCGTAGAACGTTGTAAGCTCTGACTTTCTGTGTCTTGGCAGTTGTCAGCGTTGAGAATCATTCCCTGTGCAAACTTCCCCCTTTCCTCTTTCTCCACCAGGAGTTAAAGCTTAACCTGATGGCTGCAGAGCCGGCAGACACAGTATCCCCAGTCTTGTTCTTTGCTAAAA